AAAAAAGTGTAGCTATATTAAAAACAGTGAGCAACATAGCAAAACCCCGTCTCTACAAAAAATTTTTAAAAAATTATCTGGGCATGGTGGTGCACACTTGTAGTCCCAGTTACTCAGGTGGCTGAGGCAGGAGGATTGCTTGAGCCCAAGAGTTTGAGGTCTCAGTGAGCTATAATAATGCCACTGCACTCTAGCCCAGGCAACAAAGTGAGACACTGTCTCAAAAAAAAAAAAAAAAAAAACCCCAGAAATAACAAAGTATGTGTTTTAATATTACTCTTTTATAGTTATGTTTCTTTTCCCAACTAGATTTTAGTTCATCACAGTTACAAACATGAAACCCTTCTATTGGTTAAATTCAATTATTGCTTATTGATCAATAATTACCATTCATTTTATTTCTGGTATATATTACTCCCATATCTGCTGGAATGGAGTCAAAGCCACTGCTTCCAATGATATAAACCCCTTTTTCTGCAGCTTTTTCATGATACTTCCACTTCATTAATTCCAGAAACTAAAAAATCCAGAACAAGAATCTGAATCAGAGCTATACAGAAACACCAATATTAAATGATTTCTCTTTAAAGACAAAGCAATTAAACCTGGAAAATGCTGACCAGTATTGCTCTGCAGCAAAATATTAACTGTCCCAATGTTTTTTCACTTATTCAGCAAATACTGACTAAACTCATATCGTGTGCCAGATGGTACAGGAGATATGCTTATTTGACTTAATGATACTGAATTCTTTTAGAATTATTTTTAAATGTGAAAGTAATACCTATTATAAAAATTAATATTAAAAAACACAAAGAAAGCAAAAATAAATCACCCCAAATTGCATTACACAGATGAACATCATTACAGATATGTAACTATGCATATATATAGAGAAAGGGGCAGGAAAGGAGGCGATGATAGAGGAGATAGGGGAATAATGTCTGTTCAAATCTTTTGCTTATTTTTAAAATTAGTTTTCTACAATAGTTTTAGATTTACAGAAACACTGAATAGTAGAGAGTTCCCATGTACTCTGAAACCCAGTTTCCTGATTAATGTATTTTACATTAACATGTTATAATTAATGAACCAATATCGGTACATTATTATTAACTAAAGTCGACAGTTTATGGAGATTTCTTTTTTACCTAATGTCCTTTTTGTTTCAGGATCTCATCCAGGATACCACATTACATTTAGCTGTCATGTCTTTTGAGGCTCCTTTTGGCTGGGACAGTTTCTGACACTTTCTTTGTTTTTAATGACCTTGACCATTTTGAGGAGTGCTGGCCACGTATTTTATAAACTGCTCCTCTACTGGAATTTATTTCATGTTTTTCTCATGATTAAACTGGAGTAATGGATTTTGAGAGGAAGACTACAGTGATAAAGTGCCATTCTCTTTGTATCATATCAAGGTAACATACTATCAACGTGATTTACCACTTTTGATGTTGACCTTGAACACCCAGCCAAGGCAGTGTCTGCAGTTTCTCCACTGTAAAATTATGCTCCCTGTCCCTGAGTGGAGTAGCTACATAAATTATTTGGAATTCTACACAGAAGATTTGTCTCATCTTATCCTTCTGTCCACTTTTTAAATGGGTTATTTGCATTTCTATTATTGACTTGTAAAAGTTCTTTATGTATTCTGGACCTTTATTAGATTTTTATATTACTTTTATGGTAGCTTTCAAGATGACTTACAAGCTTTTCATTATTTTCTATGTTCTGGGATATTTTAAATAACATAGGAATCGTTTTGTTTTCTTTTTTAAATTCACGTTTCCTACCTATTCTTTTATCATTTTTGGTAATTTACACCTTCCTAGTATTTTCCAATATACATTACCAATTGATAAACTCGAAGCACATATCATATTGGCACACTGATGACAATAATCAGTAGAAACTACATAGTCATATGAGGTTACCATTTTAAAGGTATTAGTGACTACACTAAAGGTATTAGTGTAGCTTAGTGACTGTTAACACATTACTTCCTGCAGTCAGGCAAACCTCAATTCAAGTCCTAGTTCTTCTGCTCACTAGGTGCATGACTCTTAGCAAGTTACTTAACCTTCCTTAACCTTTAATTTCCTCATCTATAAAAAAAGGAAGAAGGCTGGGTATTCGTGGCTCTTGCCTGTAATCCCAGCACTGGGGGGCCAACGTGGGAGATTCACTTGAGGCCAGGAGTTCAAGACCAGCCTGGTTGACAAGGCAAGACCCCACCTCTACAAAACATTAAAAAAAAAAATTAGCCAGGCATGGTGGTGTGAGCCTGTAGTCCCAGCTACTCAGGAGGCTGAGGCAAGAGGATTGCTTGAGCCCAAGAATTCAAGGTTATAATCAGCTATGGTCACACCACTGCACTCCAGCCTGGACGACGGAGTGAGACCCCGTCTCTCAAAACAAATAAAATAAATAAATAAAAATAACAATAAAACTGCTTAGCACTGTTTTGGGCAAATGGTAAGCATTCAATAAATGTGAATGCTAAAAATTTTTAGGTTGAGGGGATTTTACATTTTCTGTAATGTTATCAATGTGCCTGATTTTAAAAAGGGAATTCAAAATGAAAATTATAAAAGTGAAATTTGGATTATAAAATAGTATACTATTTTAATTAATTCAGTGTGAAGCATAAAGTATTAATAGCTGCAAAAATTAGCATATCCTATATACTAAGGACCTAATAAACAAATTCAAGAAAACTGAAGCTAAAGATCTTACCAATAGTGCTCTCCTTCAAGATATCAAAGGAATACCATAGAAATACCATCTCTAAACACTAGAAAGGAGTTGTCAACTTCTAAATGTCTCAAAATTGCACTATTTTCTAATTCATTAATAAGAAAATCATGTGTTATTAATTCTATGTTTTTTCCTTTTCATTTTACATACTTGAGGTTCTCCACAGATGTCAACGCAACTGGTTCCATTTTCAATACATGCTTTTACCACAGGTTCTCCATAAAATCGATACTAGGGGAAAAAGAAAGTCAACAGGTTACTCTTTCTTGACAAGTTTCAATGAATGAAATGCCATTTAATCTTGGAAGTACAATCTTGGTTATCAAGAAATCAAATGTTAATAGACACTTTGGGAGGCCAAGGCAGGAAGACTGCTTGAGCCCAGGAGTCTGAGGTTGCAGTGAGCTATGATGACGCCACTGCACTCTAGCCTGGGTGACAGACCTTGTCTCAGAAAAAAAAAAAGTTAGTAAAGTAGCTTAAAGATAAATTGAGAAAATAAGATAACTACAGTATACCACCTCTCACAGTGTAAACAAAGAATAGCATGATGGAATTACAGGGGAATATATGCTTACCTCTAAAGAAAAAAATCAAAGTTTTATAGAAAAAGTGATTTACTTGAGTTGAATCTTCAAGAAGAAGAAGGGTTTGTCAGGAAAAAGAAAAATCCAGAAAAAGGAAAAAGTATATGTAAAGGTGTAAGAAAGGGAAACTGTTCTGCTACTTGAAGCACATGGCGATTAAGCAAGAAGTAGCTAGAGATGAGTCTGGAAAGAAATGCTAGGGCCAGATCAGGAAGCACAACAAAGTGCCATGCTAGTAAGTTTGAACTCTATCTTTTCTAGCTTACTAGGCTCTCCTGGAGGGTTTTAAACAGGACAGTGGTATAAGATTTATGGTTGAGGTTGCTGCGAGCTAGGCTGACGCCACGGCACTCACTCTAGCCTGGGCAAAAGAGTGAGACTCTGTCTCAAAAAAAAAAAAAAAAAAAAAACCCCAGAAATAACAAAGTATGTGTTTTAATATTACTCTTTTATAGTTATGTTTCTTTTCCCAACTAGATTTTAGTTCATCACAGTTACAAACATGAAACCCTTCTATTGGTTAAATTCAATTATTGCTTATTGATCAATAATTACCATTCATTTTATTTCTGGTATATATTACTCCCATATCTGCTGGAATGGAGTCAAAGCCACTGCTTCCAATGATATAAACCCCTTTTTCTGCAGCTTTTTCATGATACTTCCACTTCATTAATTCCAGAAACTAAAAAATCCAGAACAAGAATCTGAATCAGAGCTATACAGAAACACCAATATTAAATGATTTCTCTTTAAAGACAAAGCAATTAAACCTGGAAAATGCTGACCAGTATTGCTCTGCAGCAAAATATTAACTGTCCCAATGTTTTTTCACTTATTCAGCAAATACTGACTAAACTCATATCGTGTGCCAGATGGTACAGGAGATATGCTTATTTGACTTAATGATACTGAATTCTTTTAGAATTATTTTTAAATGTGAAAGTAATACCTATTATAAAAATTAATATTAAAAAACACAAAGAAAGCAAAAATAAATCACCCCAAATTGCATTACACAGATGAACATCATTACAGATATGTAACTATGCATATATATAGAGAAAGGGGCAGGAAAGGAGGCGATGATAGAGGAGATAGGGGAATAATGTCTG